GCGGCGCCTTGCGGTCCCCCCTCTCCCAGCCCCCGCACCTCCTGCTCCTGCAGGGCTACAGCCAGCAGCATGTAAGCACTGCGCCGCCTTCCCGCACACCCCCCTGCACCCCCCGGCACCCCCCCGCTTTCCTCCTACCCCCCAGCCCCGGGGAAGGGGGGGCTGCTTGCATGGCCGGAGCTGCTGGGGTGGGGGGTGGTGGTGGCGCAGAAGAGCATCCTTTAGAATACGAGCGGTGCCAGCTTGGGACTTTGCAGCCTTGTCCCCAAGTCTTGTCCCCAAGCCTGTCCCCAAGCACGGGGGGGTGCGGAGCTGGGACCCGCGACCCCCACTTAAAACCCCAGAGGGGCACGGGGAAAGCCCCCGGAGCAGCATCCCTGCCCTGGCCCAAGGGAGGCCTGGTTTTGCGGGTGATGGCTGAGCTGCCCCGTCCCCTGTCTGGCTGCTTCATTAGTGGCAAACGTAATGAGAGGCAGCAAGGAGACAGCGCGTCTGGGAGCCCCTGCTCCCCAGTGCTGGAGGCACTTGGAGAACTGGAAAGGACTGGGACGGCTCTTGTAGTTAATGGCTACTTTGTCCCCGTTGAGGATCTGGCTGTTCCAAGCGTTCCGGCAGGGTGACACTGGCACAGCAGCCCTCACTGCAGCCATCCCGTTAGTACAGCTGGGGAAGCTGAGGCACGGGGTGGCTACCTGAGCCGCTTCAGGGCATGCGGGCAGGCTGGAGGAGAAGGCAGGGCAGGGAGCGGCTGCTCTGACCCGGGTCCCACCATCCTCCCCCGGGTAGGGGGATGGAGGCATCACTGCAGTCTGGGGGGAGAAGGTGGGAAGGAAAAGCAGCTGTGGTAGGGGGGAAGTGAGAGGTGGAGGGAGGGCTCCTTCTGCCCAAAGCAGCCCCATTTGCATGCTCAAACTGCATACCCAAAGTTATTGTGCCCATTTATTATAGTGCCCAAAGCAGGCATCACTGCTGTCCTGCTCGACAGCGAGGAAAATATAGAGAGAAATGTGGCTCTGCCGTGCAAAGGTGCAGCAGGCAGGTGGGCGGCCAGGGGACGGCGGGAGGCTGCAGCACCCACTGCACTGCAGGGAGGAGGGTCCCTTCTCCCCCTCCTCCCCAGTTCATGCCACATCTCCCCGCTTGGCAGGACAGCTTGGTTTACCTGCTGGACCGTGAACAGCACACAGTAGGCCAGAGGACGCAGGCGAGCAAGCCCAGCATCAGCCTGTCAGCCCCCGACATCTTACCCCTGCACTGCACCATCAGGAAGCTCCGACCTTCCCGGCATCACTGGGAGGAGAAGCTGGTGCTGGAGCCCATTGCTGGTGCCGGCATCTCCGTCAACTTCGCTGAGGTGGCCAGGACGGTCGTGCTGCGGCACGGGGACCTCCTCTCCCTCGGTCTTTACTACCTGCTCCTCTACAAGGACCCCATGAAGGCGCAGCCACTGCCGGCACAGACCCTGCTGAGGCTGCGAGCCCTGCACCCCGCTGTCCCTGAGGGTCCCTCCGTCTGCGGGGCGTGCGGCAGCCTGCTGAAGGAGAGGGACCCTGCCAGCAAAAAGCGGGGCCCATTGCCCGTCAGCGGCCCCAGGGTGCCCCGCAGAAAGCTGCTGCTGGAGTTCGAACCAGCAGCTGAGGACGTGCTCCTGCGGCGCATCATGACCCTGATCGAACCAGGAGGGGACGACTACAAGCTGACACCTGCCTTCCTGCTCTGTCTCTGCATCCAGCACTCGGCCACCAGTTTCGAGCCGGGTGACTTCGGGCAGCTGCTGCTCAAAGTGGCCAAAATGATCCAGAGGACGGTGTGGGTCAGTTGGTGGTGGGACGGGGGTGTTGCTGGGGTGGGGGTGTTGCTGGACCCCCTGCTGGGGGCTTCCCCCAGCCTGTTGCCTGGCAGCAGCGAGTGCTGGTTTGGGGTGATGCTCGTGTCACCCTGTCCTGCTGTTTTTCATTTTGCTTTCCCCTTCTCTCCCTGCCCAGGAGCGGACACGGGAGCTGGCTGAGAAGCAGTCCCAGCAGTAAGTGCAACCCACCACCCCTCCTCATTTTGCCCTCAAACGGGGAGAATTCAAACCAGTTCTTCTTCCACAAGCAAAGGGAGCCCATGGCTGGTTATAACCAGTCTCACAGCGCCGATGCATGCTGCGTTTTCCTGCTCCATCCCACGCATTCGCCTCTCTGGTCCTTTCACCACGGTGCCTGCAAGGACCCTGCTTGGGAACGTGTGGGGCTGGAAAAGCAGGCGAGCTCATGGGGGAATAGGACCTGCAGCAGCTCTGGGGTCTTCTGCAATCCAAGACCAGGCCAAGGCTTTGCACATGTGGCTTCAGCATCCCTGATGGCCCCGGCATGGGGTCTCACAGTGTTCATGCTGAAGAACCCCCTGTGGAGCAAGGACGGGGCTGGCATTGCATGTGTGCATCCAGGGATGGTGCGACATGGTGTCCCGGGGTGGAGAGCACCACCACAGTGGTGTGGGGGGGTTGGCTTCTGGTGGGGTGTGAGGCCAGCTTCCCAGCCATTTCCAAAATCCAGGCTCCAAAGCAGCATCTGGAGAAACTTGATGCTTGCTGTGAGCTCCCCTTTAGGACAAGCTCTGAGGATGCTTCCCAGGCTTTTCCTATAGCAGGAAAAAGTGGTTCATTTTTTAGATGCTTTTTATTTATTTTGTTTTATTTTTGAACAGCCCAGTGCAGGCAGGCTGGGTTTAACCATCCAGAGCTGGCAGGAACAGCACATACTTCTTGGGGAGAGCTGCTGTTCAGCCACAAGTATGTACTGCAGCTCAGCTGTACTAGGGGGAGTCCCCCCTGCAAAAGTGGCACCCCACAAAGGCCAGGTGGCCTTTGGCCAGCCTTATCCCTGCAGGGTCCCCTTCGCTGTCCTGCAGAGCAAGAACCACCAGATTTTTGCTTGCAAAGGGTCTTCTTAAGGGGGTGCTGGGCTTGGGAGGTGGGGTGTGTGTGCAAATGCTCTCCTGGCATTGCCCCAGGCTGGCTGTTTTCTCCCCAAAAGCTTGAGTGGGGATGCTGAGGAGCAGGAGCTGTAACACCTGCTGTGTCTCCCCAGCCAGGACCCTGCCACCCTGTCCCGCTTCACCATCACGGACCTTCTTCCAGATCTGCAGCACATCCTCTTCTGGATGGCCAACGCCATCGAAGTCCTCTACTTCATCCAGCAGAAATCACCCACCTACATCCAGAGCATGGAGGAGGAGCTGGACGTCAGAGGTAGGGCTGGATGCAGTGCCCTGCTTGCTTCTCTGGCTGCAGTGACTGCTCTGCTAATCCCCAGTCGCAAGCGGTGGTCAGTGCCCCTGAGATGCTCCTTTAACCCCCCATAATCCTTATCAGCAGGGATGTCTCCGCAGTGCAGGCTGGGGTAATCTGCGCGGGAGGAGCAGCCTCGTGTTGTGCTGTGGTGCTGCTCGGCTTCGGGGCCAGGTTGTGTTGTGTTGCGTTTGCAGCTGAGCCTCCCCTTTCCACCACAGCAGCATGTGGTTAATGCTTTGGGGGTGGCTTTCTGCCCCCCAGCTGCTGCAAGGGTACCTGGATTTGCAGGCAGCCCTGCAGAATTGCTCACTGCTGAGCCTGTGTTAATGCCAGCAAAAAAAAGAGAGGAAAAAAAAGGTAAAAGGGATTAAATCAGCCTCAGAAACCTTCTGGTCTGTGCAGCAAGTTAAAACACTCATAGGCCAGACAGGCTGTTGGAAAGGGGGTGCAGCCCTGGGCTGCCTGTGGGGCAGAGGCCGCCGTGCTGCAGCGCCGGGCTGTGCTGCCAGCGGTGGTGTGAGCCGTGGGAGATGGCAGGGGGGCGCTCTCTGGGGCAAGAGGAGCCTCTTTGCCCCCGTTGAGGGATGCCATGGTGGTGATAGCAGCCCAGGAGCACTAATAACCCCACCCCAGGAATCTGGGGAGCGGTGAATTCGGCCTGCCTTGCTGCTGCAGGTTTGCTCCCCCTCCTCTCCACCTTCTAGGCTCCAAGGAGTCTCTGTTCTCCTCGACCATCACAGCCAGCGAGGAGGCGATGACAGTGCTGGAGGAGGTGATCATGTACACCTTCCAGCAGTGCGTCTACTACATCTCCAAGGTACGTCCTCCGTGGGGAGGGCAGCAGTGTCCCACAGGGCCAGGACAAGCATCCCCAGCAGCTCTCGGGCTGTGCAGGAGGTTTTTTTAAGCTTTTACTCTTTGGCAGTTGCATCATGCTGAGGTGTTTTCCTGTGGGCTGAAGTGTCCCGATTTTTGGTTGCAGCCCAGGAAAAGTATTGAATTACTGTAGCGTGTTTCCCTGCCTGCAGTGCAGCGGCTTGGGGGAGGTGTTTGGGGAGAGCTGCTTGGCTCCGGCCAGTGCAACATAATGGTGTGATTCAGGGTGTGATGGAAAGGGGCCTCTGGACTGTCGCCGTTGGACCGCGAGAGCTGGGCGGCATCGGGAGCGGGGAACAGAGCGGGCAGTGTGAGGCAGGAGAAAGGCTGCTGTGTGCGGGACAGCCCTGCCTGTCCGCTGGCATCGGCACGCGGGGACGCAGGGGTTGCTCCTGCACCGCTCTGCCAGAGCAGTACCCTCCTCCCCAGCACCCTCGCCTCCCCCTTAGCCTCGGCAGAGGTGGGTGCTAGGTGCTGCTCTCCCATTTAAGCAACAGGGAAAGGTCATCCCCATCGGTCCTGGTTTTTCTTTCACCCTCATGTCCAGCTGATTGGCCATGGCCCTGGTTCAGATCAGTTTTCAGATCCCTTTAACTGAGTTGCCCCATGTTGTCACCTCCGCATGAGACACATTCAATTTTTACTTTTTTTTAAACACTTGTGCAACACCAGAGCGCATCGAGGCAGGGGGGGTAAGCGAGATCAGCCCCTTGCCAGAGCAATGCCAGTGGGGTTTGCTCAGCTTGTGGAGGTGAGGGGGTCAGAAGGGTTTGGCTCATGCAAAAAAAAAAAAAGAAACCAAATCAGTCCTGCTGTGAACTTGCTGCTCTCCCTGCAGTGTCTGTACGTGTCGCTCCCTGCCCTGCTAGAGTGCAACCCCTTCCAAAACGAGTGCCGGGAGAGCTGGCAGGCATCCCTGCCGCTGCCCAAGGCGCTCCA